TCTCACTCTTTTTTTTTTTTTTTCTTTTTAAATTTTCTCTTTTTTTGGATTTTGTTTCGGAGGAGACGAGCAGAGGAGGGAGAGCACCGCTTATTTTCTAGCAAGTATTGCACCTCTAATACTGGAAAGAAAAAGAGTTGTCAAATACACAGTTTCGAGCTGTTGCATGCAGCTTTGCCTCCTTTCGTTAAAGTACACACCATTAAACGTCTCTTTTTTTTTTTTTTTTAAAAACACATACGTTTACACTTTTTTTTTTAACGTTACACAATTCTAAAGTAGTATACCTCCTCTTGGTTTTATTACCAAACAACAAGTAGGCAAGTTTACCAAAGTTACAGAAGGATTCCATTTACACACAACGCATACATTGGCTTAAAAATATTGCTATGTATATTTTTTTTTTTTTTCCTCTCCATATGGACACCGTGTCTAGTCCCACTTTTCATTATGCTGCCGGCTGAGTACTGAGTACGGGTACTTTTTAAGTACTGAAGTGTATACAAGGCTCTCACTTTGTAACCTGTAGCATATAAATGCGACAAAGCATGTTAAAAAGTTTCCATGTTTAACAGCCAAGGAAAATATTCAAAATAATCGAGGCAATGAAAAAGGGCACGTTAAGAACATCGAGCTCCTTACCTGCCGGAGGCACCGAAATCCATCACCACAGGGCCGAGTTCCCCTACCTGCCCCGTTGGCGTTCGGGGGGGTGTGAGGGGGGAGGGCCCCCCCGTTTTCCCACAGGCGGCAGAAATCCCGCGGCGGAGAAGCCGGGGGGACCCTCCGCCCGAGGTCTAGTCAGGCAGAAACCGCTCAATTTAAGGTCGGATCAAGGGGAGGGGGGGAGCGAAATCAAGAGAGGCCGGTGGCAAAATCTTTTTGCATGAGGCTAGAAATTTGCAGACGTGATGATAAGACATTTCGAGTGCCTACATCTACTTTAAACCGTTACGAGAGAAAATACATCGTGGGTGAAATCTTTATGCAGAACCACGGGGAAACTCGGGGCCACTCGAGCCAATTCACGCCGGATGCGTTCCGACACAAGCCAGGCTTTTTGGTTTTTTTTGTCTTTTTTCATCTCTTTCCAGACATAGATTGAGCTGCATTTCTCCGATAAAGATTTCAGGCCACTTTTTGTTTCGACAGAGCTACGGAGAACGGGACCTACCCATCGCCAACCTCCCAGTTGCCACTGGGCAACCTCAAGGAGTCGCTTAAAGCGAGGAGAAGCCGCGATTCCGGGCCGCCCCGCCGAGTTCTCGGGTTCGCATCTCCCGGCGTGCAACCTTGGGGCCGCTCCGCGTAGCTCTGACCGAGGGCACGGAGGGATGGAACACACACAAAGCTCCTTGGAGGAGCTTTCAGGATTTAGCTCTCCCTTCCTCACCGCTCATCGAAACCAACGGCCCCGGCCGCGAAGTCGCGCCGCCCACCCGAAGGCGCAGGTTTACCAAACCAGGTTTGGCCATCAGGTCAAACTGATTTAGAGCACCTGAAAAAGCTCCGAGGGGGAGCAGCCCCCGGGAACCAGAGCTCTTCAGGTTCTCGGTGTCTTTCTTCAGGCGCAGGGAGCGACTCCCAGGCCTGGTGGAAGGTTTGTGTGTGTTCGATCCGGAGTTAACTGTTAAACCCCACAGAGGATTTCGCCTCTGCATGACCATGAAGGGAGCTGAAAGTTCCAGGTCGAGCAATTCCCCTCGATTCCACCCCACCCCGGGGGCCCAACCAGCTGCAGGATGAAAAACCAGATCGGATCCTGCTCCTCTTTCCCCTAGGAGAATGTTTTGCCACGGGTTCGAGGCAAATGCCGCTACAGAGATCTCTTCCCCCGCGGAAGTACCATTGGGAACGTCAACCTTTCAGTCCCTTCTTTCCGTTTTACCAATCCTACAGGGAAACCAGAATTAAAGAGAAAAGGAGAAAAAGATTTGCTCTTACCCCATTCCACCGCGTCCTCCTCCCCGCCCACCTCTGCTCATGCCTCCACGATCATATCCCCCTCTTCCCCTGCCCCGGTTATCAGGGCCGCTCAGATTCCGGTTCTCTCCCGGGCCTGAAAAGCCTCCGGATTCCTGTCCGTACACGTTCATGCTGCTGGGATGGTCCTGCCGAAACGAGCCTGAGGAAGGTTTGGTAGGGAAAACGCATCAGGGAGACGCAGACAAGAGCGGGACGAAGCCACTTGTCCCCTTTCTAAGCCCTAACCGCACCAAGGCGACTCTTGCGACCCTGGCGAGACGGTTTGCCGGGACAAAGGGTGAAAACTCACTCTGTTGCCCGTAGGTGCTGCTCTGCTGGCTGTACTGGCTGGGGGCCTGGCTGTAGGATGCCGTCGGGGGCGGGTAACTGGTCGGCGGGGGCTGCTGCGCGTAGCTGCTCTGCTGCCCGTAGCTGCTCTGTTGGCCATAGGTGCTCGGCTGCCCGTAGGTGCTCTGCTGGGAGTAAGTGCTCTGGTCGTAGCTGCTCGGCTGCGTGGAGGGATAGCTGGGAGGCAAAAAAGAAAAAAGCATCGGAAAAATGAGCTGGTTCAGGCCAAAGCAGCTCATGCTAGGAGGTAAAGCAATTAACGAGCCCCAGGTAGCGTCGTAAACAATTTTAAAAAGGTGGAATTATCCTTCGGCGGCAGGAGGCAAAAAAAACCTGCCTAAAGCAAAATCCGCGCGAGCGGTTGCGATTTCTTCATACCTCTAGAAAAGGGAGAAATGTCACAGCAAAAAATCAGCGGCAACGCAGGGAACGGGCTCCCCTTCCGCACCGGCGTTGAAATATTTGCATGATTTGGATAATAAGAGTCTCCCCTCCTCATGCAACTCAGGCTTTGAGAATTTCAGAAGAAACACTTTAGAAGAGTCAGCACCAAGGGGAAGAGGCGAGCCCCTTGTCGAAGCCACACATAAGGAGGCAGCAAAAGGTTGCTAGAACACAGGCCACATCAAGATGATTCCTCAAGAAAACCCGAAAAAGACCCTTACACCCCCAATCCTAGTGTCGCCCACCCTACAACAGGACACCAAACCGCTGGTTTTTTAACATCCCTTCCTTTCAAATGCCCCTTTTACCTGGTCGGCGGGTAGGAGGGAGGCGCGGTGACGGGCTGCATGGGGTAGCTGGCAGGCACCTGAGGGTAGCTGTAGTTGCTCTGTCCGTAGCCCAGGCTGGGCTGGCTGTAGCCCGTCGTACTCGACTGCGGCTGGCTCGTCTCTGCTGGTTTGCTGCCATCCTGGGGTCTGCGGAGCGAGGAGGTAAAAATGGGTGCAAAGGCTCAGGATGTCCCCTCCCCGGGGCAGAGGGGCACGGCGTCAGTCACTCTGGGAGTGGAGGACACGTGCCCTCATTCAAGGCTGAGGGTTTCAGCGCCTGCTGAGCGTGTTCTCGCAGGCCACAGCGGCCCGAGCGGAGAGCGCAGAGCACCACGGCTCCTGTCAAACACCCCACTGTTCAGAGTTAAGCCGCTTGCAGTGTATAAGCTGGGAAAAAATTCTTTTAAATGATGGCAGGATTCATTAAAGTGTAACCTGACGGATACAAGCTCCGCCCTTCCTTAGGGGAATGGTTGCTACAAACATCAGGTGAACAAATAAAGCAGCTTTTCCTCACAACGGAACAAGTTTCCATTATGTATTCTAATTCTTGCCTCGCCTGAGCAAACAATTAAATTAAATAAACTACTGACAGCGCCCAGACACAAGAAATTTG